ATTAGTTCTTCAGCTTCAGTTTCGGAACTTTCACGCTTAGTAACACATAGAGCTGTTCCCTCACCACAGTGCAACAGTGAAAAGGGACCTCTTTCAAACAGTGTCGCGTTCCGAACTTTGTTTAAGCGACATACGGTATTGCGGTATTTTAAAAATTTATATCATAACAAAAATAAACACTGGTATTCGGTATGAACCGGTATACCACCCAGCACTACATTCCACCTTACAAAACGCGACACTTCCGTGTTTGTAGCTTCTTATTCACGCTCAACTTAGGGACCATGAGGTTTTTCTCTTTTTTCACGTTTTTTAATGGCCCGTGTTGCTTTTGTGGCTGTTTTCAGAATAAAATAAAAAATTATTTTAAAATGCAAACAACACTGACATCAGCGAAAATGGACATTAAAATGTAAAGGCACAGACAATATAATTATAGTATTAGCCTATTTAATTACTGAATGTGTCATCAGCTCAACTTAGGGACCATGTAGTTTTTCCTCTTATTTACAATTTTTTAGGCACCCTGTTACTATTGTGTATATTTTTAGAAAAGAATAATAAACTATTTTGAAATGTAATATCAATGTAATAATAACACCAAGCTATCAGTGAAAATGACTGTAAGAATATTAAGGCACATAAAATATAATTACATCATTCTTTAATTATTGCATATGCCATCCTTTAACGAATCAATTGCATTAATGAATCAACTGAATAAAAAAAAAATTATAATAATAATTCAAATAACTGCTACAAATTTCATTATTCCAAGGTAACTAGAGATTATAATATGCTACAATAAAAATATCTGAAAATTTTCATGGTAACAATCAAGTGCCATGGGAATAAGGCCCAAGTGGAATTTTTAACACACCCTCAAAAGCAGCTGAGATAGGCTATAGTGTCTCCAATTGGGCCAATAATGCAATTTCCCGTTACTGTATTGTAGGGCTGGGCGATATTGAAGAAAAATGCGATATGCGATACGATAATGCTTAAAGTGCCACATGCTCAGATGAAACAGTTTTACTCAGCTGTTGCCGAGTCAGTTCTGTGAACTTCTATAACTATCTGGTGTCATATATATATTATTATTTGTATGCATGTATGTACCAAGAGTTCCTGTAAAACCACAACAAATTCCTTGTGTTTGCGCACACTTAAGTGGTGAATAAAGCTCATTCTGATTCTAATAAAAAAGCACCCCTACAACAACTTCTGAAAGTGAACGGTAGTGTTTTATATTGCACAGCCCTACTGTATTGTCATATCTGTAAAATTCATGTGTCTATAACTTCAAAATGCTACAGTAAAAATGTCCGAAATGTTGCATGGTGACAGTCAAGTGCTTTGGGAATAAAGCCCCACTATAACGTTTAATGCACCCTCAAAAGCAGCTGAGATCTAGCGCCTCCAATTGGGCAAATAATGCAATTTCTTCTATTGTATTGTAATTACTGCCAAATTTATGGATCCATAACTTTAAAATACTACAATAACAATGTCTAAAAATTTGCATGGTAACAGTCAAGTGCCTTGGGAATAAGGCTCAGTGGAATTTTGAACACACCCTCAAAGGCAGCTGAGATATAGTGCTTCCAATTGGGCCAATAATGCAATTTCTCCTGTTATTGTATGGTCATTTCTGCCAAATGTATGGGTCCATTCCTTTAAAATGCTACAGTAAAAATGTCTGAAAATTTGCATGGTAACGGTCAAGTGCCTTGGGAATAAGGCCTCAGTGGTAGGATAACCGCAATATCGCAATTTTGCAATTCGCAATATCGCTATTGACGAGCAAACCGCAGAGGAATGCAGACTCCAGAACATCACATCAACTCTGGATGATTACGCAAAAAGATCAAGTTACGTGCTTTAAAATGCACATTCATCTTACTTAAATGCATATATGATGTTTGTAAATACTGTAATTTGTAGCATCTTCCAACTGTACTTTCTGATATCATCTCATAAAAGACTATTGTGGTGTTGTAAGAAGCATACATTTATGTAAAGCACCTTTAAAACAACATGTACTGTGAAAAGCATTATATAAATAAATGTTTACTAAACAGAATTTAATTGAAAGAGCCATTGCATTGTTGGATACTGTACCGTTTTGAATTCATGGACACACTGACAATACAGTTAGAAGAGCCAGTGCAGTATCGGTCCAACTGGAGGCGCTATATCTCAGCTAACTTTGAGGGTGCGCTAAAGGACATACTGTGGCCTTATTCCCGAGGCACTTGACTGTCACCATGTACAATTATATACATTTTTACTGTAGCATTTTAAAGTTATGGACCCATAAATTTGACACATGACAATACAATAACAGGAGAAATTGCATTATTGGCCCAATTGGAGGCGCTATATCTCAGCTACCTTTGAGGTAGTCTCGCATAGCATCTAAACATCAGAGAGATACATTTTATCATAAGATCTGCATAAAACAGTAGTGTGGGTGAGAGTCACTGTTTTTACTCCATATTCTCACATCTATTAATAGTAGCATGTGTGTTCAACCTTTAAACCCTTTACAGTCTGGGTCTATGTATAAAATCAGATTACTACTTTCCATTACTTTGTCTTTGGCTAACAAAACCAAAGTTGCAGTGGCCACAGGACTAGATCATGTGAGCTGTACTATTAAATACAAGGTTGTTATTGAATACCGGCACAAGACACTGTAAAATAAAAGTTAGTTTATGCTGATATAAAAACAAATAGTCAAGTCAAGTCAAGTCACCTTTATTTATATACCGCTTTTAACAATACAGATTGTGTCAAAGCAACTGAACAGCATTAGTCATAAACATTTTAAAATTGTGCGTGTCATTGGCATGGCAGTTTATTAGCAGTTCAGAAAGTCTAACTCACTCACCATGTCTTAGACCATAGCAGCAGGTTTTGCGGTTAAACAGTAGATCTATAATGGATTTATACCAATCTACCTCCAAATGGAGCATTTGATTAATAAATCCAAAATCAAACTTACTTGTAGAAGTAACCTTTTTTTCTGTTCACTGGATGCTTTCACTTCCAGAGCGTCTGAATGCGTTTCTGCTTTCCTGCCCGGATACAGCAGACCAATAGCATTCGAGTATGGTTCTCAAGGAGTGTTCGATTGGTTGGACCTACTGAAGGGATACGCCCTTCCCTGACCGAATCGGTTGAGTGAATGATTCAATGACTCACTCATCCAACTGCATGGATCATTGACAAAATTAGTAAACAAAAATGAATGAATCTTTATAGTGAACTGACTGTTACTGGATGAATCACAGTCCACTACATCAGTGGCTCCCAACCCCGGTCCTGGAGGCACCCCAACACTGCACATTTTGCATGCCTCCTTTCTCTGACACACCAATTTCAGGTCTTGGAGTCTCTACTAATGAGCTGATGACCTGAATCAGGTGTGTTTGATTAAGGAGACATGCAAAACGTGCTATGTTGGGGTGCCTCCAGGACCAGGGTTGGGAACCACTGCACTACATCACTGGTTCTCAATTCCAGTCCTGGGTACCCCCTGCTCTGCATGTTTTGTGTGTCTCCCTTATTTAACACACCTGATTCAGATCATCAGCTCATTAGGAGAGCGATCCATGAACTGAAATGAGTGTCAGAGAGACATACAAAATGTGCGGAGCAGTGGGTCCTCAGGACTGGAATTGAGAACCACTGCACTAAATGGTTAGGGTGTGAATTGAATACATCAGTTCACGATGGAAATTTATTATAAATTTTAGAGCATTTACCATCCAAAAGGAAATCCTTTCTTGTGTCACATCTTTATTTTTTTCCTTTTGTGGTTACAAACTTCATGAATACATTCAAAACGTAGCAATCAATTTCATTTTAAAAATGATTTATATCAACATTTTTTTATTCCATTTGATCTTTCTAAAATACAGAAATTGCTCTAGAGGCTAAACTCTATTCTGATTCTCTCACTCACTCACTCTATTTTTTTGTATTATTAGCATCCCTCATGACACAAATATATATTTTTTTAATATTCTAAATCAAATACATCCACGTCAAAATGTTTTTATTTCTCATTCCATACTAGCTTACATTTAGAATATAACAAAATAGAAAAAAAATAAACAGAAGAAACATACAACATATCATTAAATAACACATGAGATTCAGCAACATTTTTCCATCCACGTCTATCTTAAACTGCAGTGGCAACAGTAAAAATTCCAGAAGAAGAAACACTGATTTCAGTAATAACCAGCTACAGGTGTGTCTTAATGTGAAAATCCTGGAGTGTTTAGAGCAGTAACGCAAGTGCAGACAGATGACTGGGAGCTTGAACCTCACAGCATGGAGATGCCACAGCTGCCCTATGAGAAACACAGTTGTCTTCTCACTAATCAACATTAAAAGTAAAAAATAAAGGGATGCAAAGACTGAGTGTTTGTGTAATCAAGTTAGTGAAAAAGAGAGACAAGAAATTCTCTTTGTCTGGTGGTGTGTTGGTGAGAGAGTGGTATAAGGCAGCTGCAGGGTCAAAGAACCTCTCTGTGTCGTAAACCATGAGGAGAGACACATACTGATGACCTCACGGTTTGTCACTCCGGCAACAAGGTCACTAAGAACAAGCATACTTACACACAAACACAAGAACTAAAGCAAAGTTCATGGAAAATTTACAAAAAACAAACAAACCACCACATACACTCACACCCGACACACACAAACAAATCAGTGCAAAAAACGCAACTGTAACAGGGTTAAAAAGAACATTTTGTGTGAGTGTGTTCTTCCACATCCGTTACACAACAGTGCTGATGTGACTCACAGTTTACACAGTTTCACATCTCTTCGGAAATTCTTGTGGACGTCCTATGAAATAAAGGTCTGGACAGCTTGGATGCTGAATTTCAAGTCTGACAAGACCAGCCTAGATGAAGACCAACAGTTGTTCAGTAAACATCTTTCAAAATTCCAGTTCGGTTTTAATCCAATCAGCAGCTTCAATCAGGTTTTTTTTTTTGGCTAAACAGGAAATATACAGCCAACACAGAAAGACGTAATTAAGGCTCTCCACCTTTACACATATACTGCCTCCTCTGTGCTGCTGATAGTGACACGTCCTGTCCAGAGGAGTAATATGGAGTTCAGTGCAGTAGTGCAGACTTCATCACAGTGTAAGTGTAAACCTCCAGCATGCCTCACTGTTGTGTGCTTGTAGGAAGTGGAGGGAGCTTATCGTCATACTGCGGAGGCGGTGTGAGGGGTTCGATGGTGAACACGTTAGTCTGCTGGATATCGCTTAAGCTTTTCCTTCTAAGGTTGTCAGACTTTATGCGCCTAATTTTAAGGGGAATCAGCTTGCGTCCGGGACGGCTGTTTCTTCGGCCGCCCGCTCCAGTGCTGGGGTCGATTTGGGATGAAGGTCTGTGTGCTGGGCTGAATCCATCCTCCGCAGTGTGCTGATCTTCCTCTAGCTCGTCATAGGCTGGCAGCTGGGTGATGCTGTTGTGTCGCTCAGAGGACTGACTGATGGGATATTGGCCACTCATTACCACCTCCTCGTAAGTGGGGACCATGTAGTTTTGAGCTAGTTGCTCTGTCCTAGATGCAAAATAAATGCAAATTTACAACCATAAACATATTTAGCTCATTATCATTTAAATTATCATTCAAAACATTTGGGGTCAGTAAGACTTAATCAATACTTAATACTTTCATTTATCAAGGATGCATTAAATTGATTATAAGTAATAAAGATTTTTACATTGTTACAAAAAAGAATCCTGAAAAACGTATCACGGTTTTCACAAAAATATTAAGCAGCATAACTGTTTTTAACACTGATAATAAGGAGAAAATCCTCATTCTGCCTCATTTTAGAAAAGTAACCATTACATTCCAAAGTCAGAAAGAAAACACAATAATTTGCACCTCAAAAGGCCTAACCGACAACTTTATAATGGTTACTTTTCTAAAAAATGAGACATCCTTGATGATATATGTGGCTGATAAATGCGACCTCTGGAGGGCGCAGCCTTCAAAATGAGACAAGAGAGACAGTCATGAGAGTCTGCAGAGGTCCTCTTTATCATATAATTTACTGTCTTTTTTCCTGCATGTAGGTTGGACCACATTGATATGGCAGACAAAGTTTTTTCAAGTATTAATAAGCAGTTTTGTTAAAATCTTTTTTTTTTTTCTAAGACTTAGTAATACAAGCTTATACCAAACTACTTAATAATGTTTAATAAAGAATTTCATTATTTTCATGGGGATTTTTTCACTATGATATCAGGAGAGTTGTGTCAACCTGACATTTATGATGTAAGAAAATAAAAAAGAATGTTAATTCAGAAACTAAAAAAAAAAAAAATGAAGTGAATTCAAGTCACTGTATGACTGAATTACATTTTTATGTGTTCTTGAATACATGAATAAGACAAAAAAAAAATCAGTCATGTCATTGGCCTACTTATAATCATAAAGGGTAAGAATGTGGCTGCACCTGGGTGTGTATTTAACAGTATGTACTCACGTAGCCCCCTCCCCTGTGTTTGCAGGTGTACTGCCGGCTTCCTGTCCCCGGGCCGCCCGCTGTTTGTTCCGTACGCTCAGACACACAGACAGCAGCAGAAGCGCCACTCCTCCCCCTACTAGGACGAACGCCACGGATGAGGTCTCTCGAGCTTGACCTTGATCCATGCCGGGTGTGGAGCTGTTCCCTCCAGACCCTGCCGGCACCACGCTCCACACAATCATGACTATCCCCAGAGCAATTAGGCCCACGCCCAGCGCGGCAGTAGCATACTGCGCCCCAGAGCTACTGCCGCTGGTCCTGCTGGGACTGGGTGGAGTCTGGTCGCTGTAGGACATGCTTCCAAACCTTCCCGTGGACTTGAATCTCCTCCGGACACGTTGTTTGTCGTCCTGTGCCTGTCGAAATGCCTACAAACCTTATCTCATTTTTTCCTGTCTTTTTTGGAGCACTGACCCGCTCTGTGAACAGAAAATCAAATAAAGGTGAATCAGCAGAAAAGTGATTGAATCATCAGACAGACTATCATAAAAGAGTCTTATATATCAATAAGTGGCCAAGATCCAGGCCCAGTCCCTCCATAAAGCCAATGTGAAAATAGCATAGCAGTAACCCAGCCTGTGCTTCCGCAGTGATAAGGTTTTTATCAAAGCATATTTATTGTGTACACACTCATTGGTAGACATGTTAGGCTTGCCTAAATTCCTTCCATGAGATTAAGCAGGTGTCCCTTCAACTGAGCTTTAGTTACAGGTGCACGAAAACTGAAGAAAGAGTTTGATTCAAGAGTGAAGTAAGAAAGTTCACTGCTTTCACAAACGCAGACTTCGGTGAAATTTAATCTCTGCTCTGGAAGGTGTACTTTAGAGTGAAAACCAGGCAGCTCCAAACTCCAAAAATATCTTTACTAACAATGTGATATTGTTTAATAGACACACACACTAAAGAAAGCACATCATAACTCTGCTGTGTCATGCCTACACAGCTCCTGGTATTGATTATCTGTACAGGCAGGTCTGGGATAAGCGCTCTTACCGCACCCTTAATCATTTCTCAGCATGGTAGCAACATTAAGCCATGCTCTCAGATCAGTGTAAATCTTGTACATGTAGAGCCAGGTAGTTTATAATGGAATCTATTTCCTTGAGCTGTGATTGTGTGTATGGAAAAATAATGGCTGTTGCTCATGAGCTTTGTGTTTGTATTCCTGCAGTGTTTTTAAAGTCTCCATGGACAGACATTATTTAATTCCGGCACATCTGACTTATTGAATTTAATTTCCTTTACACATAAGCAAGGTTTAGTAAGTGTACATGCCTGAAATAGATACATAACATAGAATTTACCTAGCACGTCTAAGCATGCAGACAGATTAAATTATGATAGTGAATACGCACTGGGGAATGGCAGGAATTTCCTCCCCTCACAAAAGCCACTTCAGCCAAATCAGAAAAGAAAAAAAAATTGAGCCACATAAATTCACACCACACAGGGGCACCGTAACCGGGAGAAAGGGTTCAGCTGAGGAAGCTCAAGGCAACAAAGTGTACCAGGGGCCCAGAAACTCTAGCGACAGCCTACTTAGCTGTCTCTTAGAGGGAAAAGTACACACACATTTCAGCATCAGTGAACTTCAAGGGATAGTTCACCCAAAAATTATGTCATCATTTACAGTACTCAAAAGGACACCCTAGGGGCAGTTCACACAGAATATGCTTTTATGATTAAAAATGCAAGTGGAATGGACAAAAGGTCTCCATATGTGTTTTAAACTTATTTTAACTTGGGCACCTATTTTTATGCAACATGCAAAAACGTTTAAAAATGTGTAAATGGCAGTAAGGCTGTCAGATGTTTAACATTCTGTCAAACATCTCCATTTGTGCATCACGCAAGAAAGAAAGTCTTGAAAGTTTGAAAGAATATGAGGGCAAGTGAAAGCAAAATGTTCTTTCTTGGTGTCCCTTTAAGCATAATCGTCTGAAAATCTAGATTTTGAATGTCTATACGTGTCAATGGAAACAAAACATTGATAAGTAAGAGTTAAATATCTTTAACGCAAACATTACATATAGCCTATTAATGCAATTTAACACGACCAGAAGTCCTGTTAAACACTAAGAGATAGCAAAAGCAGACAAGTCTTTACAGAGTGATCACATTGTAAGACGTAAAAATGAAAATCTATGATTAAATATATAAAGATACACTTAAAACAACAAATTACGCTGCGCACGACATGCGTCTTAAAGACCGAACGAGCCATGTAAAATCATGTAAACAGTAATAAAAGTTCCAGGAAAACGAGTCAAACTTAAAGTTCACTGGGAATGTAATGAGTCTTACCCAGAAAAATGCTCTTCCTTGTGTTTAGAAGACCAACCCCGTTTAAATGCTGGATGAAACCACTTTTAATCCAATGATGTACACGTACACCGGAGCTTTTGCAACATTCCTTAAGAAATTTAACTTGAATTTCTTAAAGCGGTTTGGCCTCGAGTTTCACAGACATGAACATCGTCCTGTCCCTGCAGTCCAGATTTAACCCTTTAACAGACCTGTTCGGGCTCCTGCCCCGCCCATGTGTTCTGAAGGTAAACTTCCCCATCCACTGATGGTCCATAAAGCTTTAGAGAACCACATTTCGAGACTTTCTGTGAAACAGATGGTGATGATGAATATAAGAACTCCATATAATACAGAAAAAAATTAAAACTTTATTTTGAAATAAAATCATAAACTATCAGGGTTTCCAGTTTCAAGTCTTAATCTTATTTTATTTTCATTC